GTGTGGTCATCAAGGCCCTGATCTGACCCATCCTGGCACATGGCACCACTCATAGAGGAAACCTAAAGGAGCCAGGAGGCTTCACACATGTCCCCAAGAGTCATCTCTGAGGAGTCTTGGCTGACTGTTCAGACTAGATAGGAACAAGGTCAGTTTTGACCAACTTGGTCTTAAACACCCGGCAGGAGAGGATAGCCTCAGCACAGTCCTACGAGGACATTAAAAAGGAAAAACATTTTTTTTATGTCACTTAAGATGTACACTTGTGTCAGCCCTAACAAAAGTAAGTAAAGCTGGAGGCTGTAAAGAAAGGGTACTTGATGAGAGTGCCTGACATTTAACTATCACAAAGGACTTCTAGAGACACAAGCTTGTCCTGCATTCCAGACACTGGCAAATAAATTGTTTTCATATTAATTATTTACCAAAAAAGTAATGCTTTGCTCTCTTGTTTATTGTTGTCCTAGCATAAACCTTGTCTAGTCACTTGTCAACTGCTACCATGGACCTTTGGACTGCTGTAGTTCATGCCCCATCTGACAGAAAACAAGGATTTGGGGTCACTTCCCCCCAACATCACCCTCAGCATGAAGTAACTTGGAGATGTCCCTGCCCACTTTTCCATAGAAATGGAAGGTAGAAATTGACAGTGGGAAATTCAACAGTGGTCCCTTCACCTTCTGAATGTAGCCCTTATTGCTCTAAGACATTATTATTATTATTATTATTATTAGTAGTAGTAGTAGTAGTAGTAGTAGTAGTAGTAGTAGTAGTAGTCCTGGTATTGAACCCAGGGCCTTGTGCATGCAAGGCAAGCACTCTACCAACTGAGCCATATCCCCAGCCCCCAAGGCTTATTTTTTAAATATTTTTTCTCTCTTCTTCCCTCTCCCCCTCCCTAACAAAATTGGGGAGACAGTGTTACTTTTTCTTCCTCTGGTTAACTCTGCTTGAACACATTCACTACAAGAGGGAGATGCCTGCTAAGCATCTGAGAAGTGAATATCTCCCAAATTAGGAAGTGAATCTTAATATGCCATTCTGGGCCCTGGAATGTAACCCTTGAAGTTCCTTTAAAAGACCCCTGCTCCTCTCGATCGGGAGAGTCACAGTCTTTGGGACAGGAGTACTAGCAAAGCAGTAAACCTTATTTTTCCTTTTTCTCAAAACTGTGTCCTCATCATTGTATTTGTATTAATTGACATTGGGGATAGGGACCAAACTTTCAGTTATAAGAGTGCCCAAACTGAGAAATGTTATGAATGAAAGCAATAAAAAAAAATGCCATGAAGCAATAGAAACCACAAACAATCAGAAGGTGCAGCAAGAGATATGAGTAGAGAGCAGTCATTCAGAAACTGGCACATGGCCTCAGGAGGAAGGAGCCTGAGGACAGGGAAGCAGAGATGGAGAATCTGGGTCCTGAGGGGTGGGGGTGGGAGGTAAAAATGATGAGAGGTAGAGCAGAGTCACTAGCAATAATGTTGAACGACTAGAGCAACTGTCATGTCCTGATAGTAAGACTTCCCAATGTAGACCTGAAGAGGCGATTCAGCCCTTGGTCCTAGTGAACTATGTAGCAGGTTAAGAGCAGGCCACTTATGTCTTTAAGTTGATCACCAGTGAATCTGAAAGATGGTTCCCCTCCTCCTCCTCCTCCTCCTCCTCCTCCTCCTCCTCCTCCTCCTCCTCTTCGTCTTCTTCTTCTTCTTTTGAGCTGAGCATTGAACCTAGGGCTATTTAACCACTGAGCCATATCCTCAGACCATTTTTTAATTTGTGACAGGGTCTTGCTAAGTTGCTTAGCATCTCACCAAGTTGCCAAGGCTGGTTTCAAACTTGCAATCCTCCTGCCTCTGCCTCCCTCCCAAGTTGCAGGAATTATAGGCATGTGGTACTTTTTTGAGGACAAAAGTCCTTAAATACAGGGTCTTTTGCATACTTGGCAAGCCCCCTCCCACTGAGCCATGTCCCCAGCCCAAGAAGTTACTTCTTTTGAAAATAAGAGAGAATAATGGTGGTATTATTATACCAATACTTGTGGTACCCATTAAATTATTTTTATGCAACTCTGTATGGATGAAATAATATTAATAATGTTTGAAAACATTATAGGTGTTCTGAAATGTTTCTTCAAAGCAAGAGAAGAATACGTCAACCCAAAGACTGAAAGAAAGAGAGAGATCTCTGAAGAAATATTTACTGTGGGATTTGGAAGAATTTTTCAGGAAGGTTTTCAGTGACATCACTAGCATTCTGCAAGTAAAAGCCAGAAAGAATGGCTGAGATGAAAAGGTGCTAATAAAGTAGGCATGGTGGTGTGCACTGCATACCAGTTACTTGGGAGGCTGTGGTAGGAAGATCATCAGTTGAATGCCATCTTGGCAATTTAGTGAGACTTTGCCTCAAAATTAAACAAAACTCGATGGGGGTGTAGTAGTTCAATGATGCTGTAGAGCACTTACAGAGCCTGTGTGAAGCCCTGGCTTCAATAATTTCAAATATTTTTTTAAAGAGAGAGAGAGAGAGAGAGAGAGAGAGAATTTTTAATATTTATTTTTAAGTTTTTGGCAGATACAACATCCTTGTTTGTATGTAGTGCTGAGGATCAAACCCGGGCTGCACGCATGCCAGGCGAGCATGCTACCGCTTGCGACACATCCCCAGCCCAATAATTTCAAATATTGAGTATAAATCAATAATAAATGAATACATTAAAATGTGTTAATCACCAATTGTAATAAGCCCTTGCTTCTTTAAAATTGCCTTTTCCACCCATGGAATGTTCAGTTTTTGAGAGCACATCTACCTTGTTAACCACTGTATTTCCTGGGCAAGTTAGTAGCTCAGTACTGTGACAAAAATAACAAGTAGGGTATGAGGGCTCCAAACAGGGTCACAGAACACCAAGCTCAGGGGGCCCTCACACACTGTGCTGTTTAGGGTATTCTCCGCTCAGAGAGGGGTAGGGTGGACTCCAAGCTGTTTATTCCAGGGAGGCAGGGATTGGGCAGGCCAGGCTGGGGTCCAGGAGCAAGCAAGAATGACCTGGCAGTCAGTGAAGTCTCAGTGAGCTGAGCCCTGTGGAAATGAGAAAGGAAGTGAGGACTTCGCCAGAAGCAAGCAGGTCCCTCAACAAGTCCACCTTATGCTGTCCCACCTCCTTTTTCCTCTAGTTGTCACTAATAATGTAACTCAAGCTTGACCCATCTCCCCTTTGTCAATTCATGCCAATTTAATAATAAGGACAGTGTTTTGAGAAAAAAGGAAAACTAATTTTATTATTTTGCCAGCAAAGGAGAAACAGGGGAGTCCTGTCCCAGAGGCTGTGATTTTACCCATCTGGGCAAACAGGGCTTTTAAAGAATGTCTTCAAAATCTACATTCTAGGTTGCCCTGAGAGGGAGGTCTCAGGGCATCTGGATATTGTGTTTAGGATTCACTTGTTAATTTGGGAGATAGTCTCTTCCTGGAAACTCTGGCAGACATCTCCCTCCTGTGGAGCACAGATAACTCAAGGCAATCTTATTCCTTGCCCCCAGGTTGGAAGGGGGAGGAAGGAGAGAAAAAGAAAATCATGTCTCTTTTCAAAAATAAGGCTCAGAGCAAGGAGGGCCATATTCTAATCCTGGAGTTCTCAAGTTCTAAATTAATAGGTCTTTACCTCCTCTGGAAGTTGCCTAAGATGTCCTCAGTCTTTTGGATCTCTCCTGGAGCATGAATGGGTTCTACCACCAGGTGTAAGCCACACAGCACTATCTCCAGGCAGGAGGCAACAACCAGCAAGAAGAAGAGCGTCACATTCCAGGGAACCACTTTGAGTGGCTCCTCACACAAATTCCAGGAAGCATCATTCTTCAAGTAAGCGCCTCTGTGGACAGGTAGGGTTCAGTGAGTGAAGGAGGTCACATGGCACCCTACCCTCACCCGCAGTCCCCTCCACTCACAGAGTGGGATTTTTCAAAGGGTTAGTTAGGCCCACATGGAGAGAATTCTCCTGAAGCTCAGTGGCACCCACATGGGAAGAGCATGGGAGTCATGGGATGCAGAAACTTGGGTGGGGGGGGGTCACTAACAGATGCTAAGCCTTACGCGGTTTCTTGGAAGTGATAGTCCCACTCGCCATTTATGGAGCATTTGGGTCCAATTCTGAGGCCGACTCCTGACACAGACAGGCAGTAGATGGCACCAAGCATTCCGAAGACTGAGCACCAGCAGGAACGTGGAATCTGGACCCAGTGTGCAAGGTGAGCTGAATAGGGCCGCCCCGTCCCCACTCACAGCCTGACCGCACCTAGCTGTGAGCCTCCCACCATCCCCAGCCCCCTGCCACATGGCCAAGTGACTCTGGAGCCAGGTTAAATAGAGATTCTGGGGGCTGGGGAAGCCATCCCGAAATAGTGTGCTTGAAAATACATTTTCCTATAAACCCAGGGCTTAGAGTTAAGCAAAATTAGGGCCAATAGAGACTCATTATGGTGAGGAATTCTGTGGAGCCTGCTGTGGCTCAGGGAGAGACTAGTTTAGAAACC